GATTAATAATAAAAAGTTATATTTTACAGACCTGTTACATATGTCAAGTCTAAATCAAAACCATCCTTTTGATATCTTCTTTTGTTCTGTGATATCTAGTTTCAAAGAAAACACAAGGAGAGCACAATGTTATTGAATATGTAATGAGGACTGGAGTCTTCTTATTCGCTGTTTTTTTTTTTCAGAGGGGGGGAGCACTTAACATTTTGTAACAAGGGGGGGAAAGCAGAGGTTAACAATATCTCCACTGGCAATGTTTCCTACAGTAACTCCACACACCATTCTTCTTGTAGCTCTTTCAAGTTGGTCTTTTCCTGTGACAATTCTAATAAACAGCAATATTCGCACAAGACGAGCAGTAATGATGAGTCTGAAACAGAAGAAAAAAAAACAAATGATTGTTTATAGTAAACTCCTCATCTCCACTAAATATAAAGGAAAAGGAAAGACCAGATACATAAACTTAAAAAATATGAGAGGTGTATGGTAAACAATAAGAAGGAAGAAATGGAGATCTTTGTATTGAAAAAAATTAGAAAAATAAAGCATTTTCTAGACACTATAGCACACGATGAAATTAAACAAATATCTGGTTAATGGAAAACAATAAAACAACCAAGTGTTTTACCACTAGGCTCTTTAGATACATCCAACAAATAATTTTACTGTGATTAGATCATTTAGATATTCAATTCCATCAAATCTTTTCTTTTTCACAACTGAAACAGCTTGGTTCCTGCCTGATTCAGAATACTCACTTTGCATAGCCATGTTCCTCTAGTGTCAGGAGAGAAAAGGCCAGGGTGAGGATGAATGAAACTACAACTACTATCAGATCTATGATTTCTAGCCATCTGTGGAAGAAGGCTCTCCTGCAACAAAAGAAATTAAATCTGTGGGTGAAACCACTAGAAAAAGTAAAGTGAGTGACAAAGCCCAATGCAACAATTAGAAAAATATCTTATGCAATTGGTAATGGTAAAAGGACTGAGTGGAGTCCAATTTGGATTGCTATCATACAATTGATTAACAAAATCAGATGATCGTGAAGTAGAGGTCTGATTTATTACTCAAGAGCATGCAC